ATCCATTTGGTGAAGATAACACATTTAGCTAAGCAATAAAGCTCCATGTAAAATGAAAGCTACATAGCTGTATGGGAGGAAAAGTCTTATTATTTCCACACTTGCTTGATACCATTCAGGGTCACGGAGTTATTGGATTTGACCTACATGTGTCTCATCTTCAACTAAGTTGACTTGTCCAGCATACTCTGATACTGTCTTTAATTTGGAAAGTGATGATTTGTATTCAAAGGCAGGTTGTAGATTCTCTTTAGCAAAGCAATATTTACTAAACTCCACTAGTTTTACGTCCCATGGTATCCATTGTGTATCTAGAAAACAAAGCTTTGCTGTTTGTTTTGCTTTTCATACTCTCATGTAGGAATCTGATTATGGTGGTTAATTGATTTGCTTTCTGTAACCCAGTACTTTTGGTCACCAGTAGTTACAAGGATTCCAGGCAGATACTGAAACTCTGTTGCTTGGGCAAATGCTATAAAGTATATTACCAAATCAACAAATGTATTCTACATGTGTGTCTGTTTCAGTTACTTCAATAATGGACTAACATCCTACATCAGCCTGATTGATGAATCTAAACACAACTTTTAATAGGATGTCACTTCTGGTTTTATGACTGTCACTTTCCTTAATTGAAGCGGTAGACTAGAAAGTTCACGTACTTGAGTGCTGACCTCTAGCTGGATTGCTGTATGAGGAGCTGGAACACACTGGAAAGGTCACAGGGCTGACACCCAGCACATGTGGCATACAGCTTCCCTCTCATAGCTACTGGGAATAGTGAGGGCATTAGTCCTGCCTCCTGAGTTTCAACTTTCTCACACATGAAATGAGGAGGTTAGACTAATGAATTGTTAAAGTCACTTGAAAAGTTCTGTGATTTGGGCTATGAAGAGGGCTCAGTGATTAAGAACACTTGCAGCATACACATGAAGACCAAGACCTGAGTTCCAAGACCCAGATCTCCTGGATCTACTTAAACTCTTGGGCATTGTTGTCCCTGTAACTGAAATTCCAGAATTGTGCAAGGAGCAGACAGGAGGCCCTCTGGGGCTTGCTGGTTACTAACCTACCAGAAAAATAACAAGTTCCAGGTTCAGTGTGGTAGAACAGGACACTGGAACTGGAAATGCTCTGGTTGCATGTATGGTTATCATACAACACACACAAACACGCACGCACACACACACACACACACACACACACACACACACACACACACACACTGTAATTCATGGAAAATGGATATCATGACCAATCCTATCAGCAATCTAGAATACCAGTTTTGAACTATAACCGTGTCCCTTATTTTTGTTGAGTCTCTGTGTGCTATGTTCCAGGTGAGCCGTCCCTTCCCAACATGCCTGTCTTAAAGGACTTCACTGGGGATTCAGAGAGACTCTGGGAACTTAAATGCTTTGGATAATAACAGAGTGAAAGATGTGTTAAATAATAATGACGTTACTCCTGCGGAAAGTTAGCTGAAAGGTGTTGGGTTTCTCACTGCCTAGCATACCACCCCTCCAAAAAAAAAAAAAAAGAGTCGAGTTAAAAAGAGAGTTTGATCCCGGACTTATGGAACTCTGCAGGGTCAATAGCAGCTTTGTCCTGCTGTGGGTCAGGTTCCCACAGTTGGGGTAGGGCAGCCATGGTCTTTCCACTGACGTTTTATCAAACACACAGAATGTGGCAATTCTTTAGACAAACATATGGTTTTGTGTTACAATAGGTTCCACTTTGTTAAAAGCTCCTCAGAGTTAGAGATCTTCAGTGTGGGACAGCAGACACTAGGTACACACATGTCCCCAGGTTCACAGTTACCTTACATGTTTACTTGAATAAACCATCCCCCAAGTTTGTGTCTCACATCTGAGTCAATCTCTCAGTGAGGGTATTTTTAACTCCTCCTTACTCTTCCTTTAAAGTGTGATCCAAAAGAGTCAAGTACTTGGCTTGTACCTAGGGGAAAACTTTGAGCGAATTCCTGAGGCCCTGGAGTGGGAATGACCATCTCCAAAAGAACTGGCCCTTCCTGGCGTCTTTGCCACATAAGGGCTTGGGTGAGGCCCTAGGCACCAGTTGACGGCTGTCTTACCCATGACAGATGGTCATGACTTCAATTTCAGCAAGTGATCTGCAGCTGAAGGGGTGGGCAGGGTATTCTGCCAGCAGGCCAAGTAGCAGGGCAGCTTAGGGTAACAGCGATCCGGTGTGTGCCCGGCATAGCTTTCACGGCAATCCGGTGTGTGCCCAGCATAGCATTAAAGGTGATCGGGTGTATGCGCGGCGTAGGTTTTGTGCTAACGATGAGCTGCTGACAGGCAACCCAGTGCTACTTGTCTTTGAGGCACAGGATCCCTGGCTCCCTTGGTTCTTTTTCTCTCTGGCAAAGCCAGTATCCTGTTTGCCTGTCTTTCAAAACCCATTTTGGCACCAGATGGAACCCCTCACGGTGGCTAGCAGTTGTCTGACTTGAGGATGCCAGAGGGTGTGCTGACAGCTCCTTCTAACACAACCTGAATCTGGCTGTCAGGCCTGGGCTCAAATGGCTTAAACACGTACAGGCGGCAAATATTATCAACCATGGGGAGACAGGCAGGGGGGCCCACTGGGGGGAGGTTGGCGGTGATAGTACTCCCTAGCTTGGTACTGCCCTTGGGGGTTGGGTAATGACCCTGTGGTTTCCTCTAGTAAAACCATCGTTCTCACTCAGTATTATTCACTTTCACCAGTGGTGCCATGGATATTAACACCTTCACTATACTATCAGTACGACACTACCTCAGGATGCTGGTTCAGAGCCCCGTCTCTGGGACTACTCTCTCAGAAGTGAATTCTAGATCACATTTATTCACTTTTGGGCAAGCAATTGGGTGTCTCTGATTCTCAGTGGCCTCCTGGATTATACAGGGTGGATAGCAGGGGTTATTTAGGAGAATGGGAAGGGGGAGTGTGTTTACTCAAGGACATCTGCTACTGCCACCACCATCTTCCTGAGTTGCCTTAGGCACTACACAGCATTGCACAACTGCTTTGCAAGACACACACTCTCATTGTACCCATTTTATAGGTAGTACTTGGCTAAGGTTTGGATGAGAATGCCACACTGGGTATTTTTATAAAGGCAGAGGTTTTTACACCTTACAGCACCACACCACACAAGCCTTCATTGTCTTTAGAATAGGAATCATCCCTCTCTGGATCCTGGGATGGTTTTCATATATACTCTTCTAAATATCGAATGCAGCCGGAGCAATATGGGAGAGACTCATTACCACTGCCCATAGACATTTAATAATTTCTGAAAGGCACCTGTACTGCTTGAGTCACCTTCCGAGGCTCAGAGGAACAGGGCAGTGAAAATGCTCTGTTGAGTGACAGAGGGCTGAGTGACAGAGGGCTGAGTGACAGAGGGCTGAGTGACAGAGTGGCTGGATGGCTCACATGTGCAGCAGCAGAGCTGTTCTGGGTACTCCCCCTGGGTGGGGGGGAAGGCCCAGGGTTGATTCCGTTACACACAGCTGGACTTTAGCAGTGTTCTGTGACTCATTCATCCTAGACAGAAGGTCAATAAGCACTGGCCTCTGTGGAAAGACCCTGGATGTAAGGGTGAACCATTATCAGAGGCCAACTCCTTGATGGGCTTTGAGGGTTGTGTAATGTTAAATGACTTCATTTAAGAAGACTGTTACATTGTAAAATCTTATCATTTTGTTTGAAAAAGTCATTGTTTCTCTTCAATGCTCCCATTTATTCCCATCCTAGAAGATTCTCAGGGGCCAGGGAGAGCAGATACTGTTCTGGAATTTGCATGCAGAAGCTGTTTGAACGTGATGTGTATTCATGTAGTGCCTTTATGATAGAGGATCATGCTCACAGAGCTATACTGCTGACAGACATTGTACTCAAAACTAAATTCAGATGGCGCCATCATGGAATACTAGTTTTGCATATGTTGTTTATATTGAGTTGATGATTTTATTCTGGTGTAGTTCTAAATTGGGACAAAAGGTAAAGAAAAGAGTATTTCTAGAAGAATTTCATCGATCAGTATTTTAATACACTCCATCGATACATCTATCCAGGCCCCAAAGTAAAAATATATGCAGAAAACAGGTGGACCTAAAGCTCCTCTATTTCACCCAAATAGAAAACAGAAGGAGGAAGGTTTTAACTGAGGGTGACCAGTATGGATATCCTAGCACAAAACTCTACACACCTACTGTCCTTCTGGGATGAGATCCAATAATTGTAGTAGTTACTTAGTGTGACCAAGTCCTGTGACAAACACATTGGGACATCTTTGAAAGTTAAAATAGATTCACCAACATAGGCGATTTTTCTAGCCAATTGGAGACTGTGGTTGCCTATCCACATAAAACCCGTGGCTCTCACTATAGAACTTACTTGTTAGCTAAGGTGGGCAGAGAGGCAGGAAAAGCTTTTGTTTAAGGCAAGTGTCTTTAAAAAAATAGAAATGATCTGGAGGTATTGGAGAAGTTGGAAGGGCTTAATCTTTATGCGAATCCTATCACTTCTCCCAGGGCTGCTAATTTGAACATTTTATTTGGAGATACTAAGATTCAAACTATTTACTATCTCCTTGTGCTTATCCAATATACACTTTGCTATTCATCATCTGTGAACTTGTAACACTTAAATGAAATGTTATGCTTGGGGACCATGGGAACTCTCAATTAGATCCATTTGGAACCTATGTTAAATTATGACGGTTTGCTCTCTGAATACAAATACTCCCTGGAGGTTTAATTCTTTTGTGAGACCTGTTGGTAGTACCAAGAGTGTTCCTTTCAGAAAGAAAACCCACCTGGGATGCAATATGAAGACCCAGGCCTTGAGTATAATACTGATTCCAACAACCACTTGAGTATTGCAGGAGATGCAGGAAGAAAAGAGAACATGTAACCCAGAAGTGATTTCTGACTGCGATGTCCTTGTTAGGATTGAAATGCTAACTATGATCATTTGTTTCTCCACAGATTCTTCCTGAAGTTTTTCCTTAAATGCAACCAAAATTGCCTAAAGAATGCAGGAAACCCACGTGACATGCGGAGATTCCAGGTGGGTCTCTCTTGCTTTCCTTAAGTTTTAATAATGGCTTGACTGTGAAGAGATGATGGGAAAACATTTTTGGCAGAAGACATGGAGTCTAATTGTTTCTCTAGAGGTGAAGAGCAGGTGAGGCCACTTTCTCCCCAGGCATCTGCAATCTAGGAGTTGTTTTTGTTAGGCAAGACTCAGGGCTGCACCACCTGCGCCCACTGATGAAGGCAGCTGTGTCCTTAGAGCCTCATTTTGGCTTCCTGTATGGGCTCACATGGCGAGGCAGCCACAGATTAAGTCAATTACACAGAAACGATGGTTTTATTCTCTAAACTTGTTCTAAGTAGAACCTCTCTGGATAAGAGTAGAGAACAAAACCAGGAAGTTCATTCTTGTCCTCTGTTCTCCTCTCCCACAATCTCAGCAGCTGTTAGCACCGATTGCTGATTATAAGCAGAACATTTTTATACCCTCTGTTCTGCTTCAGAGATGCCGCTGTACCCCACATATCTGTCAGGTCAACCACCATCCAAAGCATACTAACCTAATAGAATTACACAGGTGTTAAAAGGCGGAAAACCTAAAAACATATGGGTTGAATCCAAAACGAAGGTGTTTTAGGAATTCTAGACACAATACTGCTGCAACTTCACGTGCTGAGAATCCCTCAGGACCTTGTTAAAGTACTGATTGAGATGGGGGCAGGGCTGGAATGCTATGTTTCTAACAAGCTCCCAGGTGGTGTAGAACCAGGGACACCATCTCAGGTAGCAAAGTTAAGCCCCTCCCTCGCACTGCCCTGCATCTCATTTCATGGATAAGTTACTTGCCATATCAATGTTGAAGCATGCTTACCCAACCTGTCAGGGAGACAGCTTGGGGTTGGAAGTTCGCTCCCACGCCTGTTTAGTCAGCTCAAAGTGTAGGTTTCAGTGTCGGAGCTCCAAGAGATGCTTGAGAAATTTTAGCTGCCTATTCTCTGAGGAGAAATAAGGAAAGAGATTTGAGCAATGACTGTGGTTGTCAATATCACAGTCTTCAAAATGATTTTTTTTAAAAAAAGAAGCGAGACTTATTAGTCTCATTAAAGAATAAATCCATTGGAAGGATGATACTGTTTCCAGAGATCTTAGAGAATTTTTATAATATCATCTTAGCCTTACCACTTTTTGTCTTGACAGAGAGGAATCGTGAGGATCCAATAAAGTCTTAATTTCTTAAAACTGTTTTCTGGCAAGCCCCTGCCTTCAAATTGAGATGCTACTGTTTTTTCAAAGTGTCTTGCAACATGTGTGAGTGGGCTTTTAGTATGTGCTATTTATTAGCTTGCTATGGTTTTTCTGATGAACTATGGATCTGTTTTGGCCAAGTTTGGGTTAGGAGCAAAGATACACAGACATGAAACAATTTATGTGTAATAACCAAGCATCATGACTTTGCCAGCATCAACTGTGCTGTATCCCTCAGGGCAGTAGAATTGGGATGGACTTTGGTGACACTGGGGACCTCAAAGAATATTTATGTATAGTTTTACAGGACCTACTAGTGAGTTGTGGGTTTTCGAAATATAGCTTTGAGACAAGACAGGAAGTCATTTCACTACATTCTTTTTGAGCACAGAAAAAAAGGCCAAATTTATTTATAAGGTAGTATATAAGCGATAAATTTAAGCTTTAAGAAAAAATTCTTGTGATGAATTTAATTATGCTCTTAGTTTAGTCTGGGGTTTCTCAACTTGGGCACAATGAATCTTTTAGACTAGATGATTTTGTGTGTGTGTGTGTGTGTGTGTGTGTGTGTGTGTATGTATGTGTGTGTGTGTGTATGTATGTGTGCACACAGATCTTCTGTGCTTTGTAACACAGTTGTATCAAATTACAGGATAGTTTAGAAAGGCTTTCCAAAAAGACTTCATGCATGAGTTTGAAACCCAACCCAAGTTTGTCAAATGGTGAGGGACCTTTCCTGGGAGGAAAGAACAGTGTTTTAGAGGGTGAGATACACCCCTGAGTAGTTTCTACTTGTAGGAAAATTTGGAAATGCCACAGTGAGTGTAATTGTCTCCACCAATGGTGTTTGGACTCCTTTAAAAATCACTGAGTAATACTCCATAGACTTTGACAATCCCCAGTGAAGGCCTCACTCTCCTTGGGGAGTGGGTAGGGGGTGGGTTGGGGGTTTGGTGGGGGGCATGGGAGGATGAGAGGGTGAGGGAATGGGGGATTGATATGTAAAATAAGATTATTTCTAAAATTAAAAGAAAAGAAACCACACTGAGATTCTCAAATCTTAGGACCCAGAGGGAGGGAGGGAGGGAGTGAAAGGAGAGGAGGAAGGAGAGAGAGAGAGAGAGAGAGAGAGAGAGAGAGAGAGAGAGAGAGAGAGAGAGAGAGAGAGAGAGAGAGAGAGAGGAGTATGCATACACTCCTGACATTGACTTAAAGTTCCTACAAACAAGGAATATTTCCATCACAGGAACTGAGACTCTGGTTTCATGCACTTTTTTATGTCCCTATTGTCCAGAAGAAGGACTGAGAAAGTGTCCTTTTGATGTGGACAAGCTCCTGTCCCCTCTTTGCATGTCAGTCATATTGAAGGGCTAAGTTCCAGAAAGTACTGATGAATTCACCCTTCACATCCTATGAGGCGGCTCTCATCAGCTGTCCCTGCTGGGGTTTCTCTTTTGTCTCTTGTATATTTCCCTGGTCAGCCCCATCTTCACACAGCCCAGCCAGTGTCTGTCTCCTCAGAAGAGCAGTCGGGCCCATGTAGGTGATGGAGGAGAACATGAGAAAGGCTGTTGATCTCCTGACATGTAAAGATATTCTGTCAAGCAGACTCAGCCTCAGAGTGGCCAGGCTTCTGGTCTGTAAACAGAGACTTCTTAATTACACAGGTCATATCAATTAGTGTGACCCGAATGTTCTAAAAAAATTAATCACTTTCTGAAAAGCTTAGGCAGTGTAGCATAAGCCTTGAGAAAACCTGGTACAATCCTCTTATTTTTTTCTTTTTTGAATAATGGATGTTTTCTTTTTGAAATCCCTAGGCTGTGGTTAAGGTAGCATATTTGCTTAAATACAACTGTGGATACAGGCTTCATTTAGTGGTGGTGGGGATGGGGGAGGGGGGAAGGAGAGAGGGCGGGAAAACTGGGGCTAGAAGCAGCCGATGACACAAGCAGCAATTCAGTGTGACTAAATGAGCCCATCTCTCCTTCTTGACAGTAAAAAGATGCTAATGTTAGGGGACCACGTCAAAGCCATGCCACAGTCTGGTTTTTAACTGACAGGAGCCAGACAATTCATGGTTAAGATTTAAATCCTTAGCCACCCTTTTCCTTGTTGGGACTGGCAGATGAGATCAGTGAAGGAGGAGCAAGAATTGGGCTAACGTTGTCATCCTGGTAGAAACCGTAAGACCCGGAGACTGAAGTAACATATAAATTTACAAATTCATCTTCTTCCCTCAGCAAAGTTTTTTGATAGGCCATAACTCTGCATCTGTATATAAATGTTAGATCTATGACAACGGTATATATGAATATAGATGTGAGATGTATTCTCTCATTCATGTGTGCAAGCACTCGGCAGTATTTATTAGAACACTAGATGGTAAGACTATAATGACAAATGCAAAAGACAGAGTCTTTGCTGTAATGAAACTGATATTTCAGTTGGGAGTTATTTTAGGGCAAGAGTGGCTGTTATAACACATAGACCAAATAATACTTAATGGCTCACATGTACAGCAAAGAACATCTAAGTTCTCACTTGTAATAGGTACATGCTGGGGTTCCTTACTGCCTTGAAGAATACATTTTTTTCCTTGAAATGATCTGGGAACCTGGCAACTCTTGATTTTATGCCTTACCAATCATGAAGAGCCTGATTGTATTCATGGAGCCAGAAGAAAGATAACGGATACATGAAGATAGTTCATGATGTCTTCAAATTCTTGGCTTAGAAATAGTCCTTAGAAATGGTCACTTCCTATGGCCACGATAGCCACAGGGAGGTGTGCTAATGATACAGCCCAGGAAGAAGAGAAAGTGAATGCATAAGGAATGAGTTTCCACTAGTTGTCACAATGAAGATATATAAAGATTAAAATTTGAAAATAATTGAAAATTGTGGTTATTGTCACAAAGAAAACTAATTAGGAGAGAATGAAAACAAACAAACAAACAAAAAATCCAGTGAAGTTGGAGGTGGCATCCTACCTTGAAGTATGAGATTGGAGATGGTGGTGTTTAAACTCAGAGCTTAATCTCAGAAATACAGTCAGTCTTTTACATCCATGGATTCTGCTTCTGCAGATTCAACTACCTGCAGATAGAAAGTATTTGAACAACTCTGCATTGTGCTGAATATGTATAAAATACTTTTGGTCATCGTTCTCCAAATACACATGACATATCATTCATAATATTCAGTATTTTAAGTAGAAATTTTTAAAATTATATGGGATATATATATGTGTGTGTACGTGTATGTGCATCTAATACAAAATAATACCATTTTAAAGATCTTAACATTCTTGGGGGGGTGCTAGAGCCAACTCTCTAGCAAGATACCAAGAGATACCTATGTTACATCACTCTTGGAAGAGGCAGACAAGGGCCCTGAGCAGAATGAACTGCAAGAACAAACTCATTTTCTCATGTCTAAACATTCTTCCTTCACTCAGTCATTTGGATAGGGGATAAAAGAAATCATTAGGTTATTTATCCCAAATTTCTAACAAAAAAACTATTTTTCTTTTCCAAACTGATGACATAGGTTATGACATGAAAGGGAAAGTTTTTAAAGTGAATCATAAAAAAACCATTGGAGAATTTTAATATTTACTTTAAAGAGCCATGGTCTCTCCAAATCAATATATTATATTCTGCGATTATAGCACTCTCAAAATATACGTCCGAGGTCAGTGGCGAAACAGAACGCTTTAAAGTCATTTACACAAAGCAAGCAGCATCCCCCCCTTTCTTTCTCCCCACTCTCCACTCTCGCTCCCTC